TATGGGTAGGTCGGGTGGTCAGATCCTTCTGTCCTATATTTACGTCAAGGTCACGTTTTCTCTCTCAAATTGTCGGGGGCGGGATTTCTTTCCTTTATGTATCTTCCAAGCCAGTTATCTTAAACCCCATACAGCATGTATTATCCCATACATGCTCTATGGGGTTTAAGTCGGACGAGCGCGCTGGTCACACACTCTGTGATTTCAACCTCTCAAGGGTATTCGACAACTACGGCCGCTGTATGAGGATATGCATTATCATGCGTAACAACAAATATGTCTCCTATAAAAGGGACAAAGGATACTACCGAGATTTCTTCCGAAATTTCAGTAACACATCATGCCGCTGTTAGTGGCTCATTAATAATGACAGGAAGTTCCGTACGTATCCCCATAAAATACCTCCCCATACCACAACTGACCCCCTACCATGTGCCTCATTTCCAATGATGTGACACTAAGTGTACCTATCTCCAGGGCATCTCTACAATTTTATTTTTCCATAATCTGGCTTTAAGCAAAATCTGGACATATCTGTGAATAGAATTTGACTCCAAGTTTCGTTATTCCGATTTTCGTGATTGCAAGCAACATTAACTCATTTTAAATTGCTCAGCTCCTGTCATAATTTTTCCTTACGGTGGAAATAAAATCTATCCCTCTAAAAGGAAGCGTCAGTAGCCTAATGGCAGGGAGCGGACCGCGAACTCGAAAGGTCGTGGGTTCGAATCCGCCATTCGGCTTCTATCGTGAACCACTTCTAGCACAAGCATTTTAAGCTTACCAGAAGTGGTTAAAGGGAAGTCTTAAATACTTGTAATGTTGAATACTACTATTACTAGTATTTAAAAAAAATCCTGTGCACTCCTCGACTTTTTATGACAAAGTTTTCTTGTTAGACAAGTTATTGGAGTAAGACTTTGGAACTCCTTACCCCGGTCAATTAAAAGTGCTCCGTCCTTAAATGTGTTCCATAAACAGGTCAAGGGACACTATTTGTCTCTCTAACCCCTCTCTCTTCCTCCGCTTAATTATGGTTATTGATCTACCTAAGGAATGTTGTCTTTTTAGTGCATAAGTTCTCTCTCTCTTTTTTTAGTTTAGTGCATGCACCCTACCCATTGTTGTTTTTCATATTTTTATTTAATTCTTCTTCTGGGTTGTCTGGAAGAGATTGCTATGTAGCAATAAGACCGCCCCTTGTATTTCCCTTAATAGTTTATTTTTTATTTTTTTGTTATTTTTATCTTTTTTTGGTTATTGTACACCAAAGGGTGTTGTATTGTATTGTATTTTATTGTATTAACTCAAGCTACTCGATTACATGTGGCGGATTCGGTCACATGCCATCGAGGATCGCCTTTTTGTGCTTACTGTAGTGTAACACTTCGAACTTCTTGGAGCTTCTTTCTTACCTCAGAAGAAGTTAAGCCCCCGTGTTAAACATGCTGGTAACGATGAACAGGTCACCTCTGGCCACAGTTTTCTGTTTACGTTCCTTTCCTGCAAGTCTCATATACTGTCCGGTCTGCCGATACCCCTTGACAACTCGGTGTACCACAGATTTTGATACTCGTAATGATTGGGACACATGTGTGTAGGTGTGCCCAATTTCAATTAAAGTAACAGCCCTAGCAACTTAAGTGGCATTTAGATGTGGTATTGTTAGTTTATTTGCAGTACCAATTCATATTTAACACGAAAAACAAGGCAGTCAAAGCAAAAATTTAAACAAAACCTAAATTCAAATTCAAGTTTTTCAGTATACATAAAAACAAATTAGATTCTAAAAATATATTCCAAAACTTTCTTTTTTTTTAATAGCATTTACTAATGTTTGTGGCCAGTATGCAAGTTATGTACGCAGTTACAACAGGAGAAATTAAACCACTTTTTTTCCTGCATCTTCTGCGTTCCTCTAAATTTGTCCATGAGTGTATAATTTCAAAATACATCTGATAATGTAAAATCAAATAATTAGGGCTCAACTGGTTGGTTACACATTTAAAATAAAAAGAAATATAAAGCAAAATTAGAAGTGTTAATTCTATAATCAGTCAAAAAGAGAATTTATAAATATTTTTTAAATTAAAAGTATCATCAAGTGATCATCAAAATTACAGCCCATCATTGTCCACTACTGAACATAGGGCTCCCGACAGATTGCCTCATAGGAGGATATCAGTTGCCATGTTTGGCAAGTGGGTAGACAACCGCAGTTTTTTTAATAGAATTAGGGTGACAAACGAGCACACAGTCCACCTGATGGTAAGTGGTTGCTGTGGCCCATAGACATCTGCATCTATCTTCGTTTGCGAATTAAAATGCAGATGCGTTGTTAACCTTGAGGACTAAGATAGAATGCCTCTTTTCCAGTGAAATGGGTCTCCGGTTCTCTACACTCACCGTAAGAAACACAGCAGCATTAAGCTGCTATTTTACGCTGGTAGTCTGTGAGAGCGTGGTCCTTACACCGGTCGAGCCGGCCCATTCGTGCTACAACTATACTACGAGTATTAATATAGCTGCAGCATGGCTCTACCACGTAACTTTTTTTTCATTATTTTGAATTATTCTCAGGAAGATTCTGCTGCCCATCTCCTGTTGCATTTACCTCTGTCACCTCTCGCACTACCCACGGGATAATATAGAGTAGTGGATATTCTTACACCACCACTAAATGGTTAAGGCTTGGTGATATTCGCAAATTATCTCAAAGTCAAGGACATTTAATTTAGACAATAAATCTTTACAGACGAAAACTCCATCCATCCATGGAAAGTTTTATAAACAATCCACCATTCGATTGTTTGTAAAGCTTTCTTATTTAAATTAGATATAAAAATTACATATTTTCTCTTTATATTAAAATCTCCATATTCCTGGACCAATTATTATTGGTTGGTATGGTATGTTGTTTTAGTATAAAGTTGGTTGTGATTTTTTTACAAAAACACCAGCATCCCTCTTCTTTTTCATCATCAGCATGCAAAAGTTTACTCTTGGACACGGGCCTCACCCGTGTAGGGATAAATTGCCTCAAGCCTCAAGATCTCATCACTAAACAAGCATTTTTTTATAGGATAAGGGTGACAAGCGAGCATACAGCCCACCTGATGGTAAGTGATTGCTGTGGCCCATAGACATCAATATCTATCCTCGTTTGCGATACTTGATTGCAGATGCGCTGTCAGCGGGAGAATTAAGATAGAATGCCTATTTTCCAGTAAAAAGAGTCTCCGGTTCTCTACACTCACTACACGAAACAGCAGCATTAAGCTGCTATTTACGCCGGTATTCTTTGAGAGCGTGGTCCTTCCCCGGTCGAGCCGACCCATTCGTGCTACAACTATACTATTAGTATAGCTGTAGTACGGCGCTACCACGCGTTAGCTTTAAAAAAAACATAAATATTAAGCAATATGTATCAAATGTACAAAATCAGCTAAAATAACAAACATCATTAAAAAAAACTAGCAGTAGTGCTTGCACTGCTATTTGGCGTTCCAGTCTGATTGGTATAGTATCAACATTATTACAGACTCTAAGGCGATTACATCTTAGTCCTCATACGAGTAGCTACAATATATCTGTGGGCTTCTTTGTTTAACCTTACCGGCTTGGTAGCCAGTTGGCTGGCACCAGCCAACTGGCTACCAAGCCAGTTGCCATTAGGTGGACTGCAAATTCGTTTGACTGTACAGTTCTATAAAAAAAAATCTATCGAAAACTTTAAATGTTTTATACCATATTTTTTGGTTAAGCATACTTTCTGCAGGTAGCAAGCAGATGAGGATGATGAAATGGTAATAAGCGAATGGTAGTTCAAGCGTAAAACACTATGCGTTGGGGACAAGGCTTCCTCATATTTTATGAAAGATATTTGGAGCAACAAAAGAGTACTCGTATGGCGCTAAACAATATTGGGATAGCAGTAGAATAACAGATAAGACCCACCGAGTCTACAGACAGGTGACCCACGCCCCGCCATAACACCTGCATAGCTTACACTCGCGTGCTTGGACGATTCGCCAAGACTAGTAAACACAAGTTAATCCTTCAGAGCCAGGGTCCTTACAAATAAGCTTGTTACCTCATGGGCTGATGATCTAATTACTTTCTAGGTAACAAGATTCACTACTTCGGGTCATTGAAAGATAGAAACATTGCAACTATTATTGATCCATGCAACAATGTTGCAGAAAGCAGGCGGGTTGGAAAATATATCAGCATATTTAAAACAACCACCAGTTTGACTTGAGTCCTGAAATAACTAATAATATTTTTATCCTAATAAATAATTCGTACTTATCGATCAAAAGTTTAAGCATCATTTAATAGCTAGATGTCTTTTTTGATTTCTCACATCATCTAAAGGAATAAGAAGGCATTTTGAAAGTTAATTTGGTCCGAAATGTTTTAAGGAGTATTGTTAAAAAAATAAATGGAATTTACATAGGCTCCAAAGCGCCTATGTATGGCGAGCGTACTACTATACATATGTGCAGTCAGATGAAAGGTCTAATACTACAATATCCTATCCGCCAGTAAAGCGATTGTAGCAAATATCTAACCCTGGATTCAAGGGGCTAGTGATGATAGTGATGATTATATTACTAGACCTAGAACATTAAAGCAACAAAAACACAATTTCTGTAATTTGCGTCAGTTATATGACCGACCGTGTAGTGATTGTGTAAGAATTTTCACTATTCTATAATGTTCCGGTGATATCGTAAGAGATAACAGAGGGTAACAAACAAGGTAACAAGCAGCGTCTTCCTCATAACAACTATAAAATGAATACTCTTACCAACCCGCCTGCCAAGCGAAACAACTATGTAAAATCCCCATATGAAGCTGGATTGCCTTTTTTCAGCAGTTAATTTTAATAGACTGTAATGATGATGATGATGATGACGATAAGAAAAATAACCAAAAGACAACTACAGATTTTTTTCACATTTTATGACTATAATCGTTTTTTTATTGTTTTGCAGTCCCATACTGGGCGTCGCCACCTTCACCTACGAGAAATATGCTGACGGTACTGAAGTTCCCGTCTGCCTCACCCAGGCTGATACTTTTTGGGCTGCATTGTTCTTCATACTTATAATTGCCGTTTTCTTCATCATCCCCCTTGGAGTACTACTTGTTCTCTACAGTGTCATCGCTAAAAATTTAATGGAAAACCCTGTTATAATAGCGCAAAACACCAAGAACTCTAGTAATGGCGGAAATGTTCTACGTTATAGAAAGCAAGTTATATTAATGTTAGGTACAGTGGTATTATCGTTTTTTGTATGCCTGTTGCCATTCAAGGCTCTTACGTTATGGATAATCGTATTCCCACCAGAGACAATAATGTCATTAGGTATAGACGGTTATTATATACTTTTATATTTTTGTAGAGTAATGCTATATTTAAACTCGGCTATAAATCCAATATTATACAATTTGATGTCTTCTAAATTTAGAGACGGATTCGTTAAATTGTTAAAAATAAATAAATTGATGCGTTGTGGGAGAAATTTAAGGGCAAATATGCAAAGAAGAGATACATTCAACACGACCACTTCTACTGGTTTTTCCAGTAGTCAAAACACATCAGATTCCTTTTGGAGAAGATATAGTAACAGAACATCGTCGCAAAAGTACTTCTTGAATAGAAGCAGTACAAAAACAAAAGAAGTCCAAGAACTATTTGATACTAAAGTACAGCAAGTTAAGGTTGGGGAAATAGTAAACGTTGAGAACACTAGGCGTAATAGTATGAAAATGATCGCCGCCATGAATGAATTAAAGGATAATTTAGGAGACATAATAAAACTTGAGGATAAAAAACGCAAACGTCTCAATAACATAGCAGATGTTAATCGAGTAACTAATAACATACAAGTAGATGTTCACGAAAATCATAGTAATGATGAAATAGATCAGACATGTGATGTGAGCGTCACTGCTAACAACAAACAATTACAAATATTAAATTTAGATGTTAAGACCAATAATGTGTATTCTGTAACGTTAGATGTAAATGAAAAGAGCGAGGGGAAAAACAGGTTTGTGTGTGTGCCATCGCAGGATAAAGAGAATAAAAATATATTTGTATACGACTTTAAAAGTGATGAGAGTTTTGTGTAAACATTATTTTGTATTATATCAGTAGATAATAGTTAATTTATCGGTGCAGTTGGCGATACGCCAAGTAAATCAAGCATTTAACGTAAAGAGTTTAAGTATTAACGTTTAAATATATTGGATGTTCCTAAATAAATTAAAAGAAGAGTTTTTATACATCGATATAAAATATTGACAATAGTTATTCTCTTTTATGATAGAGTCAAGATATAAATTTGGAAATTGTCTGTAATTTAAAAAAAAATGTGTATAAAATTAAAAAATAATATTGTAATCAACATTGCCTTCTTATGTGCTATGTTAAATACATGTTACATTTATATAAACCTTTCTTTTATTTCTTTTAATCCTACTGGAGTAAGAGTTAATTATTGTGGTGTAATCTTTAAGTTTAATGATATGTTGTTATGTAGCTGGTGGATATGATAATCAATCACTTCATCTAGTCTCGGGGTATTTGAAGAATCGACTAAAGGCATTAAATCTCTAACAACATTTTAATAGGCTTTCTTTTTTAATCAAAGACCGTGGTACTTACCATCCTCGTATGAATTACTGGCTTAAAATAGTTAAAAAAGCCAAACAAAGACATTCTTACTAAATGTAAAATACACAAAGTGGTCACGACAAGCAACATCTTAGATGGGATAAATCTTTTACCAATCTGCCCAATTTGCAAGGCGCCTATAAAGATTATTTCGACTGTAAGAGAAGCCTATGTATAGTCTATTCATTAAGATAGTGTCGGTACACGCGGAGGCGCATTTATTATTTTGTTTTTATTTTATTCTTTTTTACTGTGTTTGATAAATACATATTTTTGAATTCTAAGAATATGGTTATATTTCTATTCTAATAATATGGTTATATTCTTATGGTTGTTGTAATAAAATACGAATATAAATAATAAACACAAGTTCTGCGAAGGTGTGTACGCCTTTGATGTCGTGGTGGCACCTTTGACAAGATGCGGCGCGTGACGTGGCGGCGCGACACAAAGTGACCATATCCAAGCGAACAGACTATACCTAGCCTTGGCTAAATAATCCAAGAGCAGCAGTCCGCCAGCGGTGATATTCGCATCTCGATGCTAACACGAATTTGGCGAGTCTGTCGATAAACGTATACATTGTAGTGACACCCAGGCCTAAGTGTGAGTGTGTGTGTGTGTGTGTAGGTGACCATAGCTTAGTAAGTATTAGGTGATCTGGTTAAAGGTAAAACGTAGTGTTTATATACTCTTTGTTCTAAAGAGAGAGACGTCCAGATGAGCCAATACTCTGATAGTCAATCCGCCTGCCCAGCGTAACCATTAAAGCAATTCTTACCTTCATCAGGAGAAGCCAATTTCCATCTGTGGATATTTGAAAACTGATAAAGAAAAAGAAAATAGTAATAATACTATGCCATCCCACCATCACGTGCACGTATATCACTTTCACATGTAGTAAAATTGAGGGAAAATATTCGGCATACCCTGGCAACCCCTGTTGCAAATGTTCATGGGTGGCGGTCAACACTTAACATATAGCCCGTTTTTGGATTAGATGACATGAAAAATTACTAAAGTGAGAGTAGTAGATATTTTCTAATTACGCAGGGCATATTATAGCATTATAAGAGTAAACGCAGTATTATAAAAGTTACCGTGTAGTGGCGGTGTAAGACTATTCACTACTCCATATTATACCGTATGTGTCGTAAGGGACAACAGAGGGAAACTCAATATTATGAGAGTTATCGTGTAGTGGCGGTGATAGTATATCCACTACCCCATATCGTTCCGTGGGTGTCGTAAGGGGCCACAGAGGGAAACAAATCAGGAGATGGGCGGCAAAGTCTTCCTAATAAAAACTAAAAGTAAAAAGCTGTGGTTGCCAACCCGCTTGCCAAGCGTGGTAACCATGGAAAATATTCCCCTATAAGGCAATCTATGGGGAGGCTTATGTTGAGCAGTGGAATTTAATAGGTTGTTTGTTTGATACGTTGCGTCTTAAAACAGAAGGAGTATTTATAAAATATTTACAACGAAAAAAAACTGATATTTTCAAATTATGTGGTATAGTCACGATGAAGCACTATTGTGGCTGCAGCGCGAATGGGTCAGCTTGACCCAGGAACGTCAACACTCTCACAGAATACTAGCGTAATTTTACAGTATAGTGCTGGTGCTGCTGTGTTTCGTATGGAGAGTGACGTGAACCTGAGACCTTTATCACTAGTAATAAGCGATGGTCCGACAACCGATGGGAAGAAAGGTCTGGAGTGTCAGCTTCGTACCTGTAAATCAAGTGTGAAGCGGCCTCTTGAAATATGCAGGTCTTATCTATTAAAAGGTTAAAGAAATTTATTAAGGAAAAATTGTTTAATAAGATTTATTATATACAGAGAGACTACATGATTGATAATTACCTCTGGGAATGAGGTGATCGCTACCATGCTGTTTCTGATATCTTCATACTTTTTGTAGAAAATAATAAATTGTAAATTAATATTATTAAAAAAAATCCCGCTGAGTTTCTTGCTGGTTCTTCCCAGGACAGAGGATTTACAAAATAAAAATGACTTTGAATAAGTATTCTTGTTATCTATATTGAATAAAAAATATTATATTCTACTCTATTCTATACCATTAAAAATAGTGAAGACCTGATAAGACATGCAGAAAGTCGAGTGAAAAGGCTTTTCACAAGTTCAGCTGTGTACTAGTGAAGTTCTGTAATGATGATGATGGTATTTGTTAAATGAATGTGTCTACAGCAGAAAATAAATTTAAAATATTTGCGTTTTATATATTAATGAAATTACCTCTCTGAAAGTTTACAAATTGTTATAATATTTTAAACTTCAAAGCGTATAAGATATATTGCTTTTAATACTAAAATGAGTACAAGCTATTTATTTAGACAGCAAAGTGGAAGACATATCCGCCATTAATTCTATGTTTGCGAATTATAGCTGAAATAAAATTTCTCGTAAAATGTACTAGTTCAATGTAACGATCAAATTTTTTTTTATAGAAAAAGATTGACAAAATAGCATACAGTCCACCTGATGGTAAGTGGTTGCTGTTACCAACATATGCAACATATGCTGTTACAAACATGTTGTCAACATAGACATCTACATCTATCCTTGATACAAAACGAATCAAAATGCAGATGCGTTGTCACCCGCAAGTACTAAGATGGAATGCCTCGTTTCCAGTAATAAGGGTCTCCGGTTCTGTACACACACAATACAAAACACAGCGGCTTTCAGCTGCTATTCTACGCTGTTATTCTGTGAGAGCGTGGTACTTCCTCGGTAGAGCCGACCCACTCATGCTACAACTATACCACTAATATAGTTGCCGCATGGCTCTACCACGTCAAAAAATATTTTCAAAAATAAAAAAAATTGTTGAAGGAAATAAACGTATTTAAAGTAATGGAAAAGGTAAATGCAATCTTATTTTTTAAAGGAGAAATAAACTACGAGTACCAAAGGCGGGAGCGACCAACACTATTCTTACGCAATATGTGTATTTATATATTAAATAAATATTTATATATTTTAACACGCGGTTGAGCAACATAACTGCAGCACGAGTGAATCGATTCGGCGAGGGTTCATTCGACCGCGCTCTCACAGAATACCAGCATGAAACAACAGAATTTTGATTTCTCCATTTTGATTATTAATCGATGAAAGATATAGATTGAGTCATAGCATGCACTTACAATCAAGTGGGACTTAGAGACCTTCACTAAAAGAGTCTACTCTTTTTTAAAAGTCCGGCAACGCATCTGCGATTCCCTTGGTAGGTATTCCGGCAGTAGCCACTTACCCATCAGGTGAGTCGTATGCTCGTTTGTCCCCTCTCAGTTGCAATATAAGGTGGACTATGTGTCTCTCTTATTGCTCTTATTATATAAAAAAAAACATCATGTAAAAAAATTCGCTTCTGTGTGGGAATTGAACCTAATTTTCTTTCTTGCAACGATGCAGGAGAAAATCAGAGTTTGGAGATAGCTTTATAAAACAATTAAGTGAAATTCTCCTACAATGAAACTTATAATGTCTGAGAAATAAAACTTAGGTCAATAAATATGATTTTAACACAGGAACGCGGTCTTATCCCCTTTTCATTATGCCCTGGAAAAATCTTCAAGAACTGCTACGAGTTAAGCTCAGTGCCCTCGTCATATTACAAAGAGCCAGGGCCCTGATCACTATGCCAAGTGGTCTTATGGCCAAATACTCATACGCTACTTAATTTTAAGATGTATTTAAGTCTCGTGGTGTCACAATCACTTTAACATAAAGTGATAGAGACAGCACGTGACTTAATGGCATCTTAAAATTGAGTAACGTTGGAGTATTTGGCCTTTTTAATATAATTAATAGAATCAGGCGTTACTTTGCGGAAATCCATTATATAAAAGATTTTACAAAAATTTACTTCGCAAATATCCGCGTTATAAAATAAAATGATGTGTCTTACCTAGTATGAAGAAGCACCTCCCGCCCTCCCTCAATTGCGTGCACTAACCCCGTCACCACTAATCCCAGCACCGCTACTCCCAACACCACTACACTAGGCAAGACACACCACTGACGATAATACGACACGTGTTTCGCCTCTACACGAGGCATCCTCAGGTGATATAGACTCTACGGTGGCTAACCGCTAAGTGAGCGGCGAGCCAAAACAAGTGCCTTTTATACAAACCGATGACGCAACCGCTCTCTACCTAAGAAGCGAGCGACTGCGTCATGCGATAAAACATGCGACCAATCACCGCTGGACTTACGCAGCCGTTTGTAAAATTAAAAACAAACCGCCGCGCAACGCCCACATTATTAGAGAGCAGGCTTGAAGATATTTAAGAGAGGTGAGTTAGTAACATTTGTTTGTTCATTCAGCAATGCAACGGTATTATTATTACTTTTTAATATCTCTAACTGTTCCAGCACACACAGCCGCAGCCCTTTATTACACGTATGTAAGACTTTAAAGG